GAGCGTCGTGAGCCTGCGTCTCGTCCTGCGTCGCCTGTTCGTGCTGCTCGCGCTAGTGGTCGCGGTTCGCGTCAGCGTCCTCCTCCTGTCCCTGGCACGCACCGGATGTCTTTGCGTCCGTCCACTGCTCCTCTGCGTGCCCCTTTGCCTTCTCCTCCTGAGTCCTCCCTTCCTGCACTTACCGACCCAGAGTCCGACTCTCTTCGTGCTGCTAGTCCTACTGTCACACGTCTCCTTGCTACTGTCGTCACTGACCCCTCTTTTGAGTCCACTGCTGCGTCTGCGCTTGTTGCTGAGCTCGTCGACTTTGCTGCTCGCTGTCGTCTAGACTACGCTGCCGGTCTTGTTGCTGAGTCTGCGTCTGTCTGTCCTCCGTCCGTCGGGGGTGAGTGTGCTCTTGGCACGGACGTCCTTGAGGACAGGCAGGAGGAGTTCCAGTGTCTGGCTGCTGCTTCACCTCATCTCGCGTCCGTACTACTTGCCCCTGAGGGAGACCCGGATGCACTAGACATCCCGACTCCGCGCTCTTACGCGGAGGCCGTAGAGGGTCCCTACTCCTCTCAGTGGCAGGCAGCTATGGATGCAGAGATGGCGTCCTGGAAGTCCACATGCACCTACGTTGACGCGGTTCCCCCTCCTGGGGCGAACATCGTCAGTGGCATGTGGATCTTCAGGGTGAAGCGGCCGCCGGGCTCTCCACCTGTCTTCAAGGCGCGGTACGTCGCTCGTGGCTTCAGTCAGCGGCAGGGAGTTGACTACTTTCAGACCTTCTCTCCCACCCCGAAGATGACCACTCTTCGGGTGCTACTGCACATAGCCGCTCAGCGCGACTACGAGCTCCACTCTCTTGACTTCAGCACTGCTTTCTTGCAGGGTAGCCTGCACGAGGAGATCTGGCTGCGCCGTCCACCTGGCTTCACTGGGACTTTCCCTCCTGGCACCCAGTGGAGCCTCCGACGGCCAGTCTACGGTCTCCGCCAGGCACCGCGTGAGTGGCACGACACACTGAGGACTACGCTTGCGGCTCTTGGGTTTGCTCCCTCTACTGCTGACCCGTCGTTGTTTCTGCGCACCGACACTTCTTTGCCGCCGTTCTACATCCTCGTGTACGTCGACGACTTGGTCTTTGCCACAGCTGACACTGCTGGACTAGCCCACGTGAAGTCCGAGCTGCAGAAGAGACACACGTGCACAGACCTGGGTGAACTGCGCAGCTACCTTGGCTTGCAGATCACTCGGGACAGAGCACGCCGCACCATTACCTTGACTCAGTCACACATGGTGCAGCAGGTCCTTCAGCGCTTCGGCTTCACGTACTCCTCACCTCAGGCCACTCCTCTGTCTACTCGCCACTCGCTCTCAGCTCTGCCTTCGGATGAGTCCGTAGAGTCGAGTGGCCCGTACCCAGAGCTTGTTGGTTGCCTCATGTACCTGATGACCTGCACACGACCTGACCTTGCATACCCTCTTAGCATTCTTGCACGCTATGTTGCTCCTGGGAGACACCGACCAGAGCACATGGCTGCAGCGAAGAGGGTGTTGCGCTACTTGTGCAGTACGTCGGGCATGGGGCTAGTGCTTGGAGGGCGGAGTCCAGTGGTCCTCACTGGGCACGCGGACGCTTCTTGGGCTGACGACCAGGCTACGCAGCGGTCGTCGCAGGGTTACACCTTCAGTCTTGGTTCCGGCTCTGTCTCGTGGCGGGCTACACGCTCGTCCTCTGTTCTCGGCTCCAGTTGTGAGGCTGAGATCTACGCCGGGGCCATGGCTGCACAGGAGCTTCGCTGGCTCACCTACCTGCTGACTGACCTTGGAGAGCCGCCTCGTTCTCCTCCAGTGCTGTACGTAGACAACAAGGCCATGCTGGCCTTGTGTCGAGAGCAGCGCTTGGAGCACAGAACGAAGCACATTGCTCTCCGTTACTTTCTTTCTCGTGAGCTGCAGCAGCGTGGTCAGTTGCGACTTGCGTACGTGGCCTCTGAGGCCAACACTGCTGATGTGTTCACCAAGGCACTTGCGCCTTGTGACCATCAGCGCTTCTGCACTCAGCTGGGTCTTGTACCTGTCTTGCCTCACTTGCTCTCCTCTTGACCTTACTTGTACTGTCACATATATATACCTGCTCTTGCTTGTCTAGCTCTATATATATATGTGTGCACTCCTGCATGTGAACTGGCCTTGTGGCCTTGTCGTTGTGCTCGGACTGTGTGGTGACTTTGTGATCCACCCTGAGCTTGCTGTGCTTTGTGTGACTGGTCTTGTGACCCCTTGTTCTCCCCCACTTTGCCTATGGGGGTGTGTCAGAACATATATATAGCTTATGCTGTTGTGTAGGCTATAGTGGGGTATCCCATAGGGGGTACAACCCAATTAGGGTTTCCTATATGTACTCACTTCATTCATAGTTCATTCATTCGCTTTCTCCTTTTCTCAAGTTCAAAGGAGGAGATCGCCGCGAGGACGATGACGACAACGAAGACCCCTCAGGCGGAGGAGTCGGCGGAGCAGGAGGATTCGGCGGAGCAGGAGGAAGCGGCGGAGGCGCAGCAGCACCACCTGAATCAGAGAGCGACGACGATGACGTGCAGGAGGTCATCAAGCAGCATCGCCACGATAGCACCGTCTCTGGACTACAGCTGCTAGGGCTCGACACCGCCACCTCAACGGCGCCAAGAATCCGCGCCAGGCACTGACGGGACCACACAACAAGGAGTGGCGTGAGGCGATGGATGCAGAAATCAAGGCGCTCAAGTCCCGCGACACCTGGGTGCTCGTCGATCGCGCCACAATCAAGGGGAGAAGGATTCTCTATGGCAAATGGGTCTTCCGCGTGAAAACCGCAGCGAATGGCACAATCGAGCGATTTAAGGCGCGCTGGGTCGTGCGCGGCTACGATCAAAGGCACGGGATTGACTTCGACCTGACATTCGCGCCGGTCAGCCGTCAGACTTCTGTCAGAATCCTGCTCGCCATCGCTGCCGCACGACACCTCCCGCTCCGACAAATCGATATGAAGAACGAGTTCCTTTACGCGCTAGTGGACGCAGTGATTTACGTGGAGCAGCCTCATACATACGGCGAAGGAGATTCACGCGTGTGCTAGCTGCGAAAGTCCCTCTACGGGATCAAACAGGCGCTAAGGCTCTGGCAGCAGTACCTACACAACATCCTGCTTGAAATAGGCTTCAAGCAGCTGCCTTACGATCTAGGGATGTATCGCCGAGCCTTCCGCGGTGAATACATCCTGCACACGGTCTATGTTGACGACCTCCTCTACACAGGGTCAAGCAGCTTGAGCAGTTCGAGTAAAATCGCGCGGGGCGCGTTGACATCACTTGCAACCACGACGTGAAGCAGTTTCTCGGCCTCAACATCACTTACTCACCAGAAGCCATTCACCTCTCAGCGGCCAAGTATGCAGAAGAACTTGGCAAGCGCTTCAACATCGCAGCTGCACCACTCTCCACCCCTTACCGCACTCCAGGACCCAACCACAAGCCTGACAACAAAGCCCTGTCCCCCGCTGGGCTCCAAACTTACCATCAGCAGCTGGGATGCCTACTCTTCGCCTCTGTTACCTGCAGGCCCGATCTCTCGTACAACGCGAGCCAGCTGGCTCAGTACTCACGCAAACCAACGGCTGAGAATCTCCTAGATCTTCAGCGGGCCCTGCAGTTCTTCATCTCAACGCCCAATGTCGGGCTCTGCTACTCCACAATTCCAACCTCCTCCTTTAACCTCATCGGCTACGTGAACGCCGATCATGCTGCTGACCTCGACAATCGACGGTCCATAACAGGGTTCCTGTTCCGCCTTGAACCAACAGGACCTATCTCCTGGAATTCACAGAAACAGGAGCTGGTTGCCCTGTCGTCAGTAGAAGCTGAATTCATCGCCGCAACAGCAGCCGACCGCAAAGGGCTCTACCTGCAGGAGCTCCTACAGGAGGCGAAAATTCCATCGTCGCCCACCTTTCGCCAGCACTGCGACAACCAGAGCGCGATCATGATCGCAAACAAGCCTGGATTCGTCAACCACACCAAACACATTGCGCTGCGGTACTTCTTCGTCAAGGACGAAGTTGACAAGGGCAAGGTTGACCTAACCTACTGCCCAATGGGTGACATGGCAGCTGAATTCCTCACGAAGCTACTGTCACGTCAGAGTACCAGCACTGCTCCGAATTCAGCGGAGTAGTCAAGCGGGTCAAAACCTGTTACGGCCAGGAGTGAAGGGGGGTGTTACGAATAGTAAAAGGTGAAGCGTTACTGTGCACTCCTGACAGTAGCAATCGAATCATGCAATACCGAGGTTGAAGTCGAAAAGGCGGAAGTGACGCGAAGATTCGTACGGTTACGAAGGATCAGGACCGTCAGGACAGACAGCATCAGGCAGCAGCAGTGGCGAGGATTCTGCCTAGGCAGTTCGTAACCGTCTAGAGTCGCACGGTTAAGTTTCGCTGTAATAAGGGAATGTACCCCTTAGAGTACATGGCTAGCTAGGTCGCTTCGCAGTCCACCTTGTACTCTTATTTATACGCTTGTATTTGCATGTTTTAAATCATCTCAATCATTTTACATTCACTCTGATTTGAGGTCAAGGGCCAGGGCTGACAAAAAAAAAAAAAAAATCGAGTATGAGGTTTTCAGGGGTATTTGTTTTTTAGTCTGAAGCAGATTTCCCAGGGTTTGGCTACTCTGATTCTCCAGGTTTAACAAAACCCTGAGTCTGAAGTGCTCAGACTTCATATTCCCAAATCAGACTACGGTTTGTTTGTCCAGTCCTGTATTCGCTATTTGCCTTGTTTAATTTGATGTTTGAATGCCCAAAGAAAGACCACACAATCATCTATTAACAACACTAACTTGTCTACATAGTACCTAGTAGTAGTTCCTACCTACCTACCTACCTACCTACCTACCTACATATGTACCACCACCACCCACCACCACCAGAACAACCTAGTCCACTCCCCCCACCCCACACTGGAGGAAAGTCCATTACTCAGGGACTGCCATCTCAATCCCCTCATCTCCCTCGTCATCTTCTTCTCCCTCATCCTCTGAGAGGAAAGGGTTATCTGTGGCATCGTAGTGGCGTGCTTCCGCAAACCCATCCTCACCGCCGTCGAAATCTGAATCATCCTCTTCCCCCCAGTCACCGGCTTCCACCTCTTTCTGTTTGGCCTCGTCAGGATCAAGATCCTTCCCCTTGCGCTTTCTCTCAACTGCTGCAAAGACCGGTGTCTTGGCTGGGCGCCTGGGCTTCTCTCGCCACTTGGCCAGAGCTGCATCCCAGTTGATGTCGTAGTCCAGCAGCAAAATGGCCATCAGCTTCCTCAGTCGCGCGTTGCCCAAGGCTCCCCTCACCCAGGACTTGATCACGTTTTGTCGTGAGAAACCTCGTTCGCACTCGACCGTCGACAGTGGCATCACCGATGTAGCTTGCCACATCCGCATGATGTTGGGCCAGCGCCTGCGCGTTACACCGGAGAACATATAGCAGGGTTGGAATTAGGAGAGGAAAAAGGCATGTATGGGGGAGGTTTAACGCACCTGTTTGCCTCAGACGTGTTCATGAAGTTGCAGAGTCCCTGGAAGAAGCCCTCGTCCTCATGGTGTGTCTCCATGATTGGCACCCACGAGAGCAGCTCCCTCTCGGCGGCAATCATGTTGAAGCCGGGGAGCTTGTCCCCAAAGAGCGCACTGCATCCGTGAAGGTACTCTCGCACCTTCCGGTCGTGTTGTTGACGTTGCTTGGGCCACTTGGAAGCTCGGAACAGCTTCGTCGGGGCGAGCTTCTTGAGGTCGGAGAGGCGGAAGTTGAGCCTGTTTACACATTCCTGTGCAAACTTGGTGCACAGCTTCACGCACTCTCTGTACGAGCTCCATACACATGCCCCTCCAGATGCCGCTCGTGTAGCTTGTAGTCGTGGGACACAGAATGTCCTTCACTGCCCACACCGCGCACCGTTACCTTCTTCTTCCCCCCCTCCTTCCTGTATAGCGCTAGAAACTCCGAAAGCACGGGGCTTTCACCGGCTCCCATCTCGTCCTCGCACTCAAGGTACCGTCGCCGCATGTTCCCCGTAGCCTCGTCTATCTCCTTTGAGATTTCAGTCACGTCAACCTGCAGCAAGTCGTGACAGGGCTAAGGAATTCTAGTTAATGGTTAAGTAGAATCGTGGTGGTAAAGAGCAGACATCGAAATGTATGACAGCTCACCTCTCTTTTCTGAAACTTCAGGTTGAGCTTGTTCATGATGGCGAGAACGTCAGCTAGAAAAAAATACAAAACTGGAACTTGTACGAAATGACAGTCTCGTACAACTTGTGATTGCTATCTGCCAGTAGAACTATGGAGGCGCCGAGCACCCTGCACAATCGTCGCACCGCCTCTCCTCGCGACAACCACCTGACGGTGTGGATGCCCTGGACCTCTAGATTAGTCTTGTGTATGGTCTTCTGAAGGTAGTGAAATCGCTGACTGGAGTCTTGCTCGATGATGACAACAAGGAAGCCAAAGTCCTGATGACCTTGTCAACCATGTCCATGTCGGGCAAGCCGTGGCAGCATCTTTAACCGCCAGCGCTTCCCTGCACACAGACACGAAGAACAAGGGCGAGCAATATTAGTTACAGGAAGTAGTTCGTACATACAATTTGAGGGCGGCAATAACTAACATGTGCGCGATACAGTGGAAAGACACGAGGTGCGGGATGTGCTCGCGAAGGCGTGTGACGAGGCCGTTATCGCAGCCTATCATCACGTTGGCGCCGTCGGTGCTCATCGCACAGATGCGCTGCAAGTCCACTTCGACAGTCTGCAGGTGAGTCTGAATAACAGAAAGAAGCGAGGCGGCGTCACATTTCTCCACGGTAAGGTGCGCAAAAAACTCTGTCACAGGGCGGTTATTACGAAGGAAGGTTAGATAAACGATTAAGTGTTTCCCACGCGTGCGATCGGTGCTCTCGTCCGTGGTGATTCCCAAGAAAGGGGACGCCTGGATGTGTCGCATCTGCATCGCCTGGAGAAGGGTAGCAAGGCAATGAACCAGCTCTTGGAACCCGTACCTGTGGAAACATGAAGATTGAAGTGCGTCGAGTCAGTATTGTAGGTCGTAACTCGACGGTTAAAAAAGCGCGCAGCAAAGCCCATTGAAGCAATTGAACTCACCGTGTAAGGTAAACGCCGTACGATTGTTGCGGCAGGTCTGGCGTATCCTGCTCAGCCATGAACCGCACAAGCCGCACGAACATCGAAATAGGATCGTCAACCTTACAGAGGAACTCTGTTGTGCGCAGCAGCCGAATCACTCAGCGGCCTTCCACGTCCATTCTCGTGAAGCCATCCAAGCGCTTTTGCTTGCCCTCTATCGCTTCGCTGACCTCCATCTGCCGCTCCACGGCTTCAGTGTGGACGGTCGAGTGCTCGTGAATCCGCATGGTTTGCGTTTGCAAGTCGCGAGCGCCGTCGCCTGGACCCGAATACTTGGTTGTCTCTTTGCCAAACGCCCTGCAGATAGCGCACTTGAGAGTAGGGTGCCCATCCTTGGCACAGACGAGGAGGAGCCAGTTGAAGTGAGGCAGCCATTTCGCATTGTAGTTAGCCTTTGCCAGCAACCACTTCTGTTCGACATTCTGCTTCGCGGACAACTTGATTGGTACCGGCTCTTTGCCAGGTGTGGAGGGAGGCGGTGACGGAGATGGTGATGGCCTCTTGAACCTACCGCCGCTAATCATTGTGCTTTGCAGCCATTTTTGCGGTCGCTGTTTTTTAGAGCATGATTTGGCCGTGGTAACTGGCACGCTGTAACGAACCGTTGTGGCCGTTTTAAGCAACTGAGAGAGAATCGGACCCTTGTTAGATGATGCGACAGCGGGAGGTAACTGAAAGTTAATTACTGGCGGTGCAACAACTGGCGAAATCGACGGTGTCGGACGAACTTCTGCCTGTACGATCGGGCGTGCTGTATCTGGGACCACTACTGCGGGGCGTAGGCAGTCGAGCCCCGACCTAACGACAGCAACGCCAGCATCATTCAAGCTAGGCTCACCCGCATCAGCGGACAATGCCTCACCTACTCCGTGCTCTGCCATGCCTCACTAACGAGTGAAATAAGTGGAGCAGGAAATCGAAAACAGATTGGGGTGAGGCAGCCGAGCTCTCCAGTGAAGGCATGTGAAGGATGCGTTGGAGAAGAAACCCCACCACCATCCAGATGTGTTGCGGTAAACCATGGTGGTGTCGCAGCGCCATGTCAGTCACCCACCAATGCTGCACAGCAGTGCCACGAATAGACCGTTTGGGACGCAGCGTTGACCAACTTGGCCGCTTGAGCGCTGTCTTTCCCCTGTTGACACCGCGTCGCTGCTGCGGTGGTCCCACGTGAATGAAACAGCGGGGCCAGTTGGCAGATTTCACATGGAAAAGGGTGGCAAAAGATGTCAAATGTACAAAACAGGAATGATTGAACTAGCAGGAAGTTGGGTACAAGTAGTGAAACCCTAAAGTGTTGTACCCCATATTGTCTAACCCACTACAGCCTAAACAAGCTATAGCATATAAGTTTGACACACCCCCATAGGCAAAGTGGGGGAGAACAAGGGGTCACAAGACCAGTCAAGAAAAGCAAAGCAAGCTCAGGGTGGATCTCAAGGATACCACACAAATTCCGAGCACAAGCAAGTGGTCACAAGACCAGTTCACATGCAGTTTGATAATAGAACGAGAGGTACAGTGATCACAACCTAGCAAGTAAAGGCATGCAGGTATATATATAGAGATCACAGTACAAGCAGAGTTAAGAAGTGAGCAAGTGAGGGAGAGTAGGCACAAGGCCTAGAACAGTACAGAAACGCTGATGGTCACAAGGCTGAAGTGCCTTGGTGAACACGTCAGCTGTGTTGGCCCGAGTGGCCACGTAACGCAGACGAAGCTGACCACGCTGCTGCAGCTCTCGAGCGAGGAAGTAGCGCAGAGCGATGTGCTTCGTTTTGTGCTCCAGTCTGTGCTCCTCACACAAGGCAATGGCTGCCTTGTTGTCGATGTAGAGCACTGGAGGAGAACTAGGCTTCTCTCCGAGGTCAGTCAGCAGGTAGGTAAGCCAGCGTAGCTCCTGTGCAGCCATGGCTGTGGCGTAGATCTCAGCCTCACAACTGGAGCTGAGAACAGAGGAAGAGCGTGTAGAACGCCAAGAAACTGAGCCAGAGCCAAGGCTGAAGGTGTAACCCTGAGACGACCGCTGAGTAGCCTGGTCGTCAGCCCAAGAAGCGTCTGAGTGTCCAGTGAGGACAACGTCGCGCCGTCCTCCAAGCACAAGCCCCATGCCCGACGTACTGCACAAGTAGCGCAACACCCTCTTAGCTGCATCCATGTGCTCCTTCCGGTGACGGCCAGGAGCGACATAGCGTGCTAGGATGCTAAGAGGGTAGGCTAGGTCAGGTGGAGTGCAGGTCATCAGGTACATGAGGCAGCCCACCAGCTCTGGATACGGGCCACTCGGCTCTACGGACTCATCCGAAGGCAGAGCTGAGAGCGAGTGACCGGTAGGCAGAGGAGTGGGCTGAGGCGAGGAGTACGTGAAGCGGAAGCGCTGAAGGACCTGCTGCACCATGTGTGACTGAGTCAAGGTAATGGTGCACTGTGCTCTGTCCCGGGTGATCCGCAAGCCAAGATAGCTTGTCAGCTCACCCAGGTCTGTGCACGTGTGTCTCTTCTGCAGCTCCGACTTCACGTGGGCGAGTGCCTCAGTGTCAAAAGTAGCGAAGACCAAGTCGTCTACGTACACGAGAACGTAGAACGGCGGCAGTGTGGTGTCGGTGCGTAGAAACAGCGACGGGTCAGCAGTAGAAGGAGCAAACCCAAGAGCAGCAAGAGTAGTCCTCAGTGTGTCGTGCCACTCACGTGGCGCCTGGCGGAGACCGTAGACCGGCCGCCGGAGGCTCCACTGGGTACCAGGAGGGAACGACCCAGTGAAGCCAGGTGGGCGGCGCAGCCAGATCTCCTCGTGCAGGGTGCCCTGTAGGAAAGCAGTGCTGAAGTCAAGGCAGTGGAGCTCGTAGTCACGCTGAGCGGCGACGTGCAGCAGAACCCGAAGAGTGGTCATCTTCGGGGTCGGGGAGAAGGTCTGGAAGAAGTCAACTCCCTCTCGCTGACTGAAGCCTCGTGCAACCTGAAGGCAGGCGGAGAACCCGGCGGCCGCTTCACCCTGAAAATCCACATGCCACTGACGATGTTCGCCCCAGGTGGGGGAACCTCGTCGACGTAGGTGCCTGTGGACTTCCAGGAAGCCATCTCTGCGTCCATGGCTGTCTGCCACTGAGAGGAGTACTCACCATCCATCGCCTCTGCGTAGGAGCGTGGAGTCGGGATGTCTGGTGCATCCGGGTCTCCCTCAGGGGCAATCAGCATGGACACGAGATGAGGTAAAGCAGCAGCAAAGCACTGAAACTCCTCCTGTCTGTCCTCAAGGACGTCCGTGCCAAGAGCACACTCACCCCCGACGGACGGAGGACAGACAGACTCAGACTCAGACTCAGCAACAAGGCTAGCGGCGTAGTCTAGACGACAGGCGGCAGCAAAGTCAACAAGCTCAGCAACTAGAGCAGACGCAGCAGTGGACTCAAACGAAGGGTCAGTGACAACAGTGGCGAGGAAACGCGTGACAGTAGGACTAGCAGCACGAAGGGAGTCAGATTCCAGGTCCGGACCATCAGGAAGAGAGGACGCAGGAGGAGACGGCAGAGGGACACGCTGTGGAGCAGTGGAAGGACGCAGAGTCGTATAGTGAGTGCCAGGGACAGGAGGAGGACGCTGACGCGAAACACGACCTGTGCGGACAGCGCGAACAGGCGACTCAGGACGAGACTCAGGCGACGCAGGACGAGATTCAGGCGCACGACGCTCCGTAAGACCTCTAGTCGGTCCAGAGTAAGGAGAAGGACCAGGCAGTGGAGAGGCTGGCAGTAACTGCGACTGCGACTGGACAGGCGGTGGACTCAGTAAGGGCGGAGGAGGAGGACCAGTAGAAAGCGGTAGGCCAAGAACCTGCTGAAGGAGCGGAACGTAGTACGGCCGCGGC